ACAGATAAAAATCATATAGATATTGTACTGTGTGCCTAAGTTTGCACAAGAACTACAGTATTTGAATGGCAACTGAAAGATGATCATAAGGCCTCCCTGCAAACAGTCACCTACCATGACACACTGTTTCATCAACCAACCATCCCCTCAAACCTTCCACATTTACACTGAATCCTAAAGTATCTCATTAACTACTCACTCAGTAATGAGTAAACAAAGAAAAAAAAAAGCTTAACATAATACATACCAAATATGCTAGTAGCTGCCTTCTCATTTAAAGCTGAAATCTTAAATTATGATAGTAATATACCATTTTCTCTTTTAACAGAAAGCCTATATGCAGTTTCTTTATTAAGAAAACATAAAGGCTGAATACAAATGAACCACTCTCCACCATTACATGTTTCACAAACACATAATAAAAGGAACCACTGAACTTTGCAAGTACTTAATTGTCTTACCTGCTAGACAAAACTATAGCAATAATACCTTCTAACGACCTTAACCTAGGCATTGAAACAATCTACTTTTTAAATTAAACCAAACCTAACTCACACAATTATTACATCTCTTATAATTAAAAGTGTAGATAAGACACCTTAGTAGTTCTCACACATAGAAAGAATACACAGATAATGATTACCATGACACAAAAACCAACCCTGAAGATAATTGAAATATTAAAAAACAAATATTTTAAAACAAAGAAAACTATAACTAAAATACAGTATAACAACTATTTTAGCAAAAACAGAAAGCAAAACAGAAAACAAAAAGCTCCCTAGAACTTAATAAATTATCTAACTTATAACCACAAAGAACAACAAAAAGAAACATAACTAAGAAAACACTTAAAAGAAACATCTAACACCCATCCTTTCTAAGGCAAACCAAGAAAGAATACATTAACCCACCCAACCAAATACAACCTACCTTGGATTGCAAGATTATATACGATCAGAGAAATTTGGCCCAAAGCCAAGGCACTGATTAACAAGTGTGGCTCATTAGTTATAAACAGTTGGAGGAAGATTCATTAAAATAACCTGAGAAAATAAAGATTTTGGGGCTGTGTTATTTTTTTACTCTTTTATTTGTAGTGAGTATCTTTTTTACATTTTGTGCTGAATATCTCAAAAGTCATTTTAAACATTCAACTGTTTTTTTCTCTCAAGTCATAAAGTTCTGCTAACGCTGTTATATTGATGGTTTTTCTAGCTGCTTTTATTATGAACTAGCTGAAGAAAAGTGAGTCTTTTATAGCAATCTGCATTGCTTGCTAAGAGAGGCTTCAAGTTAGCACCGTGTAGAGTAAGGGTATAGAGGATAACGCAAGCGTAAACTCTTAACTCTTTTTAGTGTTAAAATATAAAAGCTCTAGGCTGTAGATAAATGTTAAAAAAAACTCTTTGGGGTTTCTATATTTAGTGTTTTCTGTTAACTGTGGCTAGACTCCTAGAAGTTTGTAGTTGGTGGTGAACCACTAAGTTACCTACATATAGTGCTATCTTTTGAGGAGGTAGAGCAGTATTTTTATAAAAGAGAAAAGGATATGGTTGTTCTAGTCCTGGAGACTGTATGGGCAGAACAGCATGGAGAGAGCTTTAACTTGTGATTAGCTATTTAGATTGTTGCAGTTTGCTAATAAGGCTACATTTTTGAAATATTTTGATTTTGTTACGCCTAGTTAAATAGTCACATAAAGACAAGGTTCTCCAGGCTTGATTGAACATTTGTTGAAGCTGTTTATTCAGTGAAAACTAGTTAAGGGTGACTGACTGTATTCTTGTCTTGTGTCCTTTTAGAGTAATGTGCTTTTTAACTTTGGCCTGACATGCTTTATGTAGAGAACAATAATATTTGATTAAAAAGTACTGCAGAAAGATAAAGTGGCATTTTTTTTTCATGACAAAAGCTTGCATCATATGCTAAGAAGAGTTTCTAAGGCTCTTAAAAAGTAGGGAAGCAAGGAGTGTACCTGGGTATTGTCCCTCTAAGGAATAGTACTCTTGGTTTTGGGGACTCTTCTGAAAGTTTCTATTACTAAAATCACATAATTAATAGTATACTATACTGCTTTTAATTTTTTTTAAGCATTATACAAAGCCGGCAAGTTCTTTGGAATGCAATTCTGTATCCTAACCTTTCACCGACAAATCGTGTTATATTATTTTGGGTTTTTGTAAACTTCATTGAGCGTGCTTACTTGCCTTTTCCAAACTACCTTCTCTGTGTACTTTGTCCAACTGCTGGACAGGAATCTGGAAGTTCAGCACAATTTTGGACCAGTTGCCAGAATGACCTATTAGCAGAATAAGGTTAGCAAGGTCTCTCCCATGCAGCTGGGAGAAGAGATTCATAACGTATTCTGAGCTCAGTCCAAGAGGTCCAAAAAGCCAAGAGGTTAATTACATTCTTTTTCTGTATTTGCTAAAGCTGAATGCAATTGAATCACACTGTGAAGCTAAAAGCTGGCAATTCTCCAACAAGGTCTTTGCTAACTTTGCTACTGATTTGTGTGCTTAGCTCCCCATCTAGTGGAAACTGCTGGTTTTTGTTCGCTGGGTTAGGGAAGGTCTTGACAAGCATGGTTTGCAACCACATTGCAGTTGGGTGATTGTAGGGAGGATGTGGCCCAGGCTCTTCTCCTGGTGACAGGACAAGGGGTAATGGGTGTAAGTTGAAACACAGGCAGTTCCACCACCATACAGAAGAACTTCTTTCCTGTGAGGATGACAGCGCCCTGGAAGAGGCTGCCCGGAGAGGCTGTGGAGTCTCCTTCTCTGGAGATCCTCAAAACCTGCCTGGATGCTGCCCTGTGCCACGTGCTCTACGTGTTCCTACCGGAGCAGGGGCTTGGACTAGATGATCTCTAGAGGTCCCTTCCAACCTTAACCATTCTGTGATTCTGTGATTGCCTCCATTCTCATATTTGATTATTTGAAAATTGAACTAGCCTTTGATGATCAATCTAGACTGGATGCCTCAGTTTCATCTCTTAGAAAGGGTCCAGCGGTCCTTTCCTTGCTTTCCAGAAGTCCCTGGGAACTTCTGCAAAAGGATCATTGCACAAGGTAGCTGTGCTCACATCCTTCCTGCCTTTTCAGAGCTATGTTCTGGTTTACATAGCGTAAAGTGAGGCATTCAATTCTTTTCATTTGGATTCAACTAGGTGTATATATGACAAGTATATACATCACAGACAGTACATTCTCAAGAGATTGCTTGTCAGAATAAAATCTGGAAACAAAAGTTAAGCAAGAAGAAAATGAACAGGCCCTAGGGCTGATATTGACTGACTGTGATTAAAATTTCTTTGTAAGCAAGATAAAGAATTATCACGCAACACCAGTTTCAACACCTAATGGTAACTTTGCTTGAGAACACACCCTAGAGTGAGAGCTGTGTTGTGCAGGTGATGTGCCTATGTGATCAAAATAACCAGAGGAGCCCAGTGTGGTTGTCAGAGCCTGTGCCAGGTTCTGGGGCTGGCTGATGTGGGTCTGGTCTGGTGGACTCTGTTCCAGGGCTCCTCTCCTCCTGCTGGAAGGAGATGGGACTCCACCTCGTTTCTGTAAGCAGTTAGTGAATCAGGAAGCTGGAAAGGGCTTGGATTCAAGGTACACGGCTAAGTATGGGCTTGTATGAACACAGTTCTCAAGAGAATGGAGATATTTACAGCAAATATAAGATATTCTAATCACTGTCATATTAACTAAAGAAACAGTCAGCTGTAGGAAAAAGCCCATCAAAACTCTGCACTCAGTGTATTTTGCTGTCTTGGAAAATTGCAAGACATATTTACATATAGCAACCATAAAATCTGCACATTGGCTTTCCCATGCCAATTTTAGGGCCAAACAAATCCTGGGTGTCCTGGAAACGAGGGTTTTTGTTTGTTTGTTTGTTTGTTTTTTCCCCCTCCAATGTCAATGGCTCTGAACTTGTTCTCCCCTTTCCCCCTCCCCCCCCCTTAGGGCAGGGAAATGTAATAATGGTCACAATGAGCACCTCCTTGCACTGGCTAGAGGTATTGTTATTGGAAAGCACAGATTTGGCTGCTTCAAGGTTTCAGCAGACAACCTGTGCTGTACTGTTTTTCTTTGCTTTGAAGTGACATATTGGGGGGGGTTAAACTTCATAGCTAATGTTCCAAAGCAGACACAGTATAATAGCAGTCCAGTACAAAGTCAGGTGATGCCTTGGCAACACTAAACTCATCTAGAGAAATAAAGGGAGAATGTCTCATTGTCTCCCATAGAGCAATAAACCCAAGTTATTCCTGTTGGGAGGTAAGGAGGTATTCAGTATTAATTATCTTCTACATCTTCAGTGATGGCAGTATCTGAATGGTGTGGAGGAACAACATGTATATAAATCATACTTGACTATAAAACCTTACCTCAGGTGCTGAACAGCTACTGGTGAAAGCTTACCCAGAGAAGAGCTGTCTCACTACCACAGCCTTTCAGGCAGGAGGGGTCAGAAGAGTCATTGCAACGTTAACGGGCTTGCTGCGGCCACACTTTCAGAGAAGCCACTTCTTATTTTACAGCCGTATTTATGAGTGAGCATAGATTAGCATTCTGTAGTATAAAAGAGTTGATGCAGAGCTGTTTGTTCCAGCTTCAGGGGCTAAAACTGACCTTTCCAAGTGAAATGATTTTAAGTCAGTGTTCAAGGTAAAAAGCCACTAAGTGGCTCATTCTAGCCTTTATTAGAGTAATTACAACTAAAAGTATCAAGTCACATGTCCATAGCAAGAGAAATACCATGGATTACAAAGCTGGTAGAACAATCGTGAAAAAAAAATTAAATAAACCAAAACAAATGCTTGCTGCAAATGTTTCAGCTTTTAAAGGGAAACTACAGCTTTTCAGGAGAGCTGAGTACAATGCATAGGCAGCAACAGCATCATCATGCCTAGGAGATTTGCACACCAAACAATATGCACCTAATTGTGCCTTGAAACAGGATACAAGCTGATGGTGAGGAAATGCAGGTGGGTTATTTGCTTGGTTCACAGCCCTGTTCAGTGGCAGTGGCCCTTAGGCAGCAGGCCATTGCCTCCATTCAGACTGTAGCACTGTCACTGAGCCATCTGAGCCTCCATTGCTTGGGCTGTCCATTCTGGGGCTGTCTGACTTATTTTCTCCAGCAGGTTGTTAACCTGGAAACACAGCGACTGGATCTGTTTGTCCCATGTTGGCAAAGCTTCGCGGGCTGCAAAAAAAGCAAGAAATCATAGTAAGTCTTAGCAATTCCCCTATTTTTTCAGTTTTAACTTCCTCCTCTAGTACTGCCCTCACCTACCTTGCAGAGGAAGCCTTCCTTGCAGCTACAGCATGCTCATTTCTGTATTCAAAAGCTACCATGGTTTTGGTTGTTTGTTACAAGCCTAACTCCTGCACTGCAAAGCAGAATTGAGCAGAGAACTTCCTGAAGAATGTTTTCCTACAGAGACTGAAAGGATTAACTTGCACCTTCCTGCAGGTAAAAGAATGTGTAATAGTGGAGAAGTGAGCGCCATCCTCAAGGGCAAGCTCTGCCACCTCGCATAAAAACACAGTAAGCTTATTTGGGACAAAAATCATGAAGATAACTGGTCGTTTTAAAGCAGCAATTCGATATGCTCATTCTGAATGGTGCTGAAAAATGAGTGTGGGCAAACTTACTCTCAAAATGAACAATTCCGTCAATCTGATCGATAAATCCATTCATGCGACCCTCGGTTATCATCTGAGATGCTATCTTCTCTGCCTGAAAAGAATATGAGAGGAAAATGTATTATTTTTTCCTCTGTTTCCCACCCAAATAAGAAATGATTGCACCTTCCATAGTCCTCATTTTTTTTTCGAATTATCTCTATGTACTGTAGAGAAAAACAAACAAACAAAAAAAACAACACACACAAAACAGTTCTAGCACTGTCATAATGCAAGGACTGGATATAGCCAGATCAAATGCTCACATCATGTACCTCTTCTCATAAAATAGGCTAAATATTTAACTTTGCTCATCAATTTAATATGGCATACTTAGTAGTTTCTTAATATCTACTACTGTTTTCCTAATATTTACTATAGCTGTTTTCTTATGTTCCTGTAGTGCTTCTCATTTTGTGAGATGCCAAGAGGCATACCTTGGCTGCAGGGATCTCTAGTAATGCTCCTAGTTCTTCAAAGGTAATATTGTTGTAAAGTTTGCTTGCAGATAACAAGTTATGTTCAATAACAGCTCTGTCCAGGATACTGGAACCTTAGAGGTTGAATGACAAAACAATTAATAGGAAATTACAACGTTTTACATAGTAGAACAAGTCAAGAATGCTTCCCTTCTTCCCTTCCAAAGTTGTGAATGCAGAAAATCTAGACACATCCCATTGCCTTGCATCAATGTTAGTCCACACAGGAGAGAAAAAGGAAGAAAAAAAGAAACTACCTGCATTTGGTTCATTTTTGAAACAAGTAGCTAAAAAAAGTTTCTATTCTAGAACAATTAAGTGGATATGGTAATAGGGATTAATATACTAGATGAAGGCAGAGATTCAAGTTGCCTTGCTGATTTTGCCACAAGATCTAGCATCTGAATTTATGGAGCTCTCATGTTCTCAACTTGTCCAATGAAACACTATTGTCTTTCTCTTTCGTTGGACTCCGAGGGGTCCATTAATCTAACAGCCTACTGCTTGTAGGATGATTCAAATGCACTTTTTTTTTCTCCTTTCAGCTCTTAATTTTATCATTTTACCACCTGCATCTTAACTATTTGTATCTTAAAGCTGTTGTTAAATGGCAACTGACATGAATCCTTTAACTTTACAAGACAGGCAGTAGAGGTAGTAGCAGAAGAGACTGACATCAAAAAAATATTACTGAAGCTTATTGTTAGGAATAATACTAAACTGTATCGCATCTATTATTGCGCAGAGCTTTTTCCTTGTTATTTAACAAGCACTGTTTACCAAGAAGGTGCCTCATTCAGAAGTATTTCATGTTTCAATATTCTCCACTTCAATTGTCTCATTTGGGAGAATGAGACTGACATTGTTATGATCCCACGGAAGCTATAAACTTAGAGAGTATTATTGTTCAGATGTTCTGGGAAGAACCAAGTTAGTAAGATCTCAGTGCACTAGATCAGAAAACAATTTGGACATTAAATGAAGTCTAAGTCACCCCTTCCCTCTCTGTCAGTAGTCAAGAAACAATGCAAGCCAAGACTTTTATTTTTTCCAGTCAACACACACTATTAAAGTAGCAACCCATGCATTTTAGAATACCTCTTCATAATCATGCCTTAGAACTGGGAAAACATAAAAGGGCACAAAGTACAAGGGAAGAGGAGAAACTCAATGTGTAGTTACCAGAGGACTGCATAAGCTTGAGAAGTCAGAATATTACAAGTTACATTGTAGAAGAAAATTGTATTTGAAAAGCAGAATAGCTGATGAGAAAAAATAATTGCAGAAAGAAGCCTTACTACTAAATTATTCTCTTGAGCGTGATGTTCCAGGGAATAACACTAGAAAATCAAATAACCAACACTATTTTTTGCCATCACACACTTAGCCATTGCAGATGGAAAGCGAAGTCCTATGGAGGGGCACTTAGCATTATGAGGCTTTATAGAAAACGGTACCATCAGCTGTAGTTGCCTTCTGGTGAGGCATTAGCATAGCTGCAAACTCTTGCAGTTGATTTCCACGGATAATTCTGTCTAGATACATTTTCTCCAAGATGCCATAGGCTGCAAGCTGCTGGCACCTCTCATCCTTGAAAAGCGTAGCAAGCATACGTGAACGCTGCTGTCCTAAAAGAGTCAGGAAAAATCCCCATTAAAGATTGCACCTTCACAGTTGGAACAATTTTTTTTCTCTAGAGATAAATATCAGACTAACAGAGCTGTATCAGAGAAGACATTGTACTGTTTGGGTCCAGAACACCATTTTCTACTGTTGTTTCTCTTGCATCTTGTGGCAAGATGGCACTTCAGCACTGGTGAAGACAGAGTTATTCCACCTCTGAACTACCAGTTGGCCAGCAACAGATCTGTGACACTGCGTTCACAGTGCTGGATTCCCTACCAGATCTTCCCAAGATGAGATACTTTCCCACAAGTAACCAAGAGGCTGACTTTCCTGACTTTCTCGGGGTTATATAAAACTAAAGCATGCATTTTACCTGCTGATGCTAGAATAGTACAATGTAAAGCATGCTTCAGGGCCTCCAGTCGCTCGCTTTCATGGACTATGCTCTTATAGGAGAGCTCGTTGTATCTCTGGGCAGCCTCAATGAACTTTCTCCTGTAGTCAAGCACTCGAGCATAGCACACCTAGAAAGACACTAGGTCTCAGTAAAATAAAACCACCAGAGGTGATCACACAGGACAGGTACATAGTCATCTTGGCTTTACAAAGCAACAGCTCCCACAAACGCTGCTCTCCTCCATTGTGGGCAAGAGCGCTGTGCCTTTGAGCTATCAGCTTAGTTCTCAAATTCCTTGTTAAATTAATGTGGTAGAGGATTGCATGGTCATTTCTCAGCACTGTTCACATGTTAAGTGCTGTGTAAATTTTAAAATGCTGGAAGTTAAGTTTATGAGCTATCTTACAGCTAAAACCTCACTGAGATTCCCATTCACTGCTGATGCTGGCAGCACTTAGGCAGTAGTTGCCCTGTTTAAAGTAGTTGTCAAGTAGTTGCTCTTCCCTTTCAGAGCTGTAGCAACTCTTGTTTCTCTCCTTTTCTGCTTTTCTCATCCTTATAGTCAATATTGACTTTTGCAATTGAGCACAAGCTTTAAAGTATTAGCAAGGGGAAACTAAATCAGAAAATCAGAAAAGCACGGGCAGGAAGAAAAGAACCAACAAACTAAGAACACAGTAACATAAGCTACACCTAATGACGTAGTTGCTCTGTAGTATAGAATTTTAAACTATTCTGTACTACTTTCGTACATCATCCTACACACACAAAAAAAATGGTAGAATGGCAAAAAAAAATCAAGTTCCTAAACTAATGGGAGCAATATTAGCGTATTAACTATCTAGGCAATAAATCACACACACAAAAAAACAAGAAGTTCTGTCAATATACCCACTGTGGCTTTGTGACTACAGCTTTTTTTATTTAAACTATTATTCAAAAAATCCTGCAGTTGTCTTTAATATTGAGATGATTTTTTTTCCCCATTATGATGTTTCTAGACAAGGCTGGGGGAGATATTTTCAGCTAAAATTTGGACACTTTAAGCCTAATATTAATTCTACAAATCTGGTATTGAAGGAACATTTACAGGTTTCTTTTGAATTTTTTAAAAAACAAGCTACCTAGCTATTTGCTAAGATGTGGCTCTCCAACTCCTAAGGCCACTTACATTTTTCCTTCATTTGTTTTGTTGTTAGGAAAGTTTTCTTGGCATTACATAAAAACATCTCAATACAGATTCATCTTCCTTTAAAAAGAGACAGCAACGCAGTAAGTTACACAACCTTATAATGGATCTGTAGCTGTTCGTTAGTTGATTCATTCTGAAGCAGGGAAGCACGATTAATATAAGCTTCTGCTTGAACTGGGTCATCATCCTCCAGATAGAGCCTGGCAATTTTCAGGTAGGTTTCCAACTTATAATCTACATTGTACTGCCTGTAAAGAAACAGAAAATAAGTAGCCAGAATTACTTCACAGCCACCTTTGCTTTTTACTATTCTAAACCTATATTTGCTTCTACTTGGCAGCTCTGGCTTTACCCTGCTTCCTTCTTCTCTGCCCCCAAAATTAGCACTCTCCATTCACAGTAGGGAAAGTTGAAATTAATGCAAATATAGATCTGTATCCTACAAATGCCAGTACAAATAACACTGTCCACCAAGAACTAAACATACGAGCTGCTTCTCATAATTGAGGAGATACTCGAATCCAAAGAAATTTGGAGTGGAACTAACAGGTGCTGTATTGGTCAAAAGGCACAGCAATTATCTTTACGAGCGTACAGAGAGAGAGGGTAGAAAGGACAGACAGAAAAAGAACAGAAAGGGTTTTAGTCTGAACTTTGAGATTAAAAAATACAGTTGAGGGTTTTTCTGTGTCTTCATTTCAAATTGTAGAAGTCAGTATTTGCAAGTAGTGTCACAGGCAAAATAACCTTAAAAAAGCACTTGTGAAAAATACTATTAAAATAGTTATCAACAAGATTGATAAATAGTGTAAAGCTTATAGTGCAGGACCTAATACCCCACAATGAAGTTTGCTTTAAAAGGCTGTGTTCAGGCTCTATTTCTGAGAAAACATGCAACTTGGCACTCTCCATTTCTGCAAAGTATGGATGGAGTGAGCTTATTCAAGTATACTTAACAACACTAAAGAGCATCTAGCAAGATACTTACTTTTGCCCTGTTTCCAAAGGGATTCCCACCAATACTTGGGCTGCGTTTCTCCAGTCTTCTTCTTTCTCATAAATGGATGCAAGATGCTGTCTTATTGAAGCAACCTGGACAAAAGAAAACCAATTCCAAACACTACGAACATGATTGATTTTTGTATTACCATTCGCAATATCTGTTCTTATTACAAATACCCATTTGGCCAATATCCCAGCTCCACAGAAACAAGCCTGTACCCATACAACTCCGCTCACGTGAAGATTTTAGATATTTGATCAAACTTTAAAACCAACCTTTTTACATCTGACTGATGGTTTGAAGCATTTCTATCTCTGGCTCAGGATAAAAAAAAATGAACTTATTTGGAGGGGAGTGCTGAGCAATAACCTTACTATATACCATTTAGAAAGATAAAAGCATATTTTGAAGAAATACAGTACCAAAATTCACTCTTTCTTCAAGTTATACCTTATACCTCATACCAAGAGGTACGAGTGATGTGAACTATTCCCTCAAATTCCAGTTTGCAGTGCAGTTGTGTGCAGGTATCCCTACTAAAATCTAGGTTTTACAAACAGAAGCACAGTTAATAAAAGAAGCCAGCCCATGTCTAGCATTTAATTTCTGCATAACTAAGGTAATGTGCAGGGAAGCATGCTCAGTTAACCTTTAGAATGAAAGTTGCTTAAAGAGACAAAAGGTAAACAGATGCAAATACAAAGCATGACAGCAACTGAATGGGTTTTGTGCTATTATTAGACCCCATAAGATTTTTATATAAACATCTTGAAGTTCTCTTGGTAGATGAAGTGCTTTGTAGAAGCAAACCAAGGACTTGAAAAAGAACTGCAAAGTATTCAGCAATTGGCTGAAGAGTTGAAATTTCAAGGTAAGTAATTTTTCTGGTACAACACTTCTGCACTAAAAAAGACTCATAAATCTTTTTTCCTTTTTTTTCTTGGCAGGGAGGAGTGCTAATCTTAAATAGCTACAGAATCTTCTTGGGAAGATATTCCTTGTTGTGACACTTTACCGTTTCATTAGTTGGATAATATGTAAAACAATGAGCACCAGTCTTTGCCTTCTATTGACAGCTGCCATAGCTCAAGCACTGTGTCACTGAAAGAAGCCATTTTCTGGTAGCAGGGGAATTACAGGCCTAGCATCCTGATTAAGAGACAGGCTCTATTCTTTGCACAGTCCCAAACACAGCATTTGGTAAAAGTTCTGTATGTATGTGAAAGTCAAATTGGATTTTAAGTAGGAATATCTGTTTTGAACATTGTTGGGGCCTTAGTAAGAATATATAAGAAACTGGAGTTTGTGGGGAACTGGACCGACGCCTAGCAAACAAGCACCTGGAGGAGCACTAACCAGCTGGGAATCTGTAGCTGGCCACAGCGCATGCCCACCTGCACCACATGCCCACCTGCACTGGTATAAAGCTCTGCTGCAGACGACAGCAGAGTGGAGTTGACTTCACTTTGCCTAGAAGTGTTGTTCACTCTGGCTTGTGGAGAAGGCTTTGGCACTTGCCATGAGTTAAACCCCCTTCATATTAAAGTGTTGCTCACTCCGACTCGTGGAGTGAGCCTCGACACTCTGCCATCAAAAGCCTCTTAGTGTAAACAAACCAGGAACATATTCTACAGGCTTCTTTGTGTGAATTGTGCCATTGAATTTCACAATTCCTTCTAAAAGTAATAAATCACCTGAGTAAGCGTTGGAGAATTAAGCCTGAAGTCATCAATATAATTAAGGGCCTAATGGATGGATTGCTAAAAGCTGATTGTTAAAAAGAAGTAAGAATTATACTGGAGATGTTTCCTTGTAACAGGCTGCTGCTGCATGCTCCATTGACAACAGTGGGAAGCTGCAAACTGTGCACCCATGATCTCCCCTTTGGTGCTTTTTCTTCTTAGCCCCTTCCAAGGGTGATTGCAGGGAAGCTAAAATGTCAAAACACTGTAAAAGTGAAAGGAAAAGCTTCTTGATGAGGAGCCAGTCTTCAGAATTGGGACTGATTGTGAGAAAAGCCTGCTGAATTTCCCACTCATTAGCGCTGGAGCCATGCAGCTTGCTATAATCCCAGGGTAGAATCTGACTTACATCGAGTATTACATCTGCTCATGTGTAAACCTCTGTAAATAAGGGTGAGTGGTGTCAGAATCTGTACCCCACTCTCAAGTCACCAGATGTGGAAGTAGATTTTGTGGAACTGCCAACTCATATCTTATAAATTTTGGGCTGTACGTATTAATTATAACAAAGATAACCCGTCTCAGAGGGCATCCTGCCTTTGATCATTGCTGAAGGGGATCTGTGGAACATCAAGCAGGAGATGTACAAAGGGCTCAAATCAAGGATGCCTAGAGGCTAGAGGGAGCAATTAACATCCCAAGAGCTTAAAGCACTTATCCTGATGCAGAGCAGCTCCTCTTACCCCGAGATTAATGAAATCACAAGTCTGATAGCGTGGACCTTTAACAAATCTATTAAAAGAGGAGTGGAACTGTGCAATTGGAGAATAACAGAGTATATGTAGAAAGGGTAAAAATGGTTCCATTAATATGACCTTAGTATTAGAATTAATTTGTAGGGGAAGAGTAGTTAGAGA